TAGGGTGTTTGTCTAGTAAATGTTCTTAAGGAGACAAAATTCAGGAAGTAGCAAGTAGTATTAATTGACTCAACCCATAATTTAACTAAGAGTTCTTTACTGTTTAACATTACTCTAGCCATTTCCTGTAACAATCTGTATTTTCTCTCAATTACACTATTCTGTTTCGGGTTTAGGAGCAGAGAATTCATGAAAAATACCATGATTTTCACAAAAAGTTAGAAAAGCTGGTATTCTCAAACTCCTTGCCATGATCACTTCGGATTCTCCCTATTTTAATCTCTTCATGATGTTTTTCAACAGTAAATTTTTTGTATAAGTAGGTAAATCTTTCAAACACATCAGATTTTTTCCTTAGAAATTCTACTCATGTAAACCTAGAGAAATCATCGACTATAATAAAGATATATCTTTTTCTACCTAGACTTTCAGTTTGTATTGGACCTATTAAATTCATGTGAAGTAATTCAAGATAGTAGGTAGTAGCAAGTGACTGACCTTGTCTGTATGTTGTTCTAGTCTGCTTATCTTTTTTGGCATGAACCACACACACCTTCATGCCTTTCTGTGAGTGTAGGAACTCCTCTTATAGCTTTAAGTTTGGTAAGTTTGACAAGAGCTGTGTAGTTCAAACGTCCCAAACGTTTGTGGCACAAATACGTACAATCAGCATTAGGAACATGACATGCAATATTGAATTCAAGAAATAACATTTTATCAAGGGACCTAGTATCACATAAAACACAACTACCATTAACTTACACGCGCCTTTCATGTACATGACTATAAGGTTGTCATCACACAATTGACCTACGCTAACTAAATTAGATTTCAAATTAACAACATAAAGTACAATTTTCAAGATAGGTGATCCGTTTATTTCGATTGTACCAACTCATTCAATTATATTCTGGACACCATCCCCAAAAGTAACAATTCATCATGCATAACTTTTGGAGTTAGTTAACATAGCACAATTTCTAGTTACGTGTTTGGAACAACTACTACCAAAATGCGAAGAGTTATGTATAATAGATTTATACGCAACATTAACCATGTAGTATATAAGATCACGTTTACATATCCACACTTGCCTTTTTTTAGTCCTAAGGTTGAGTTTCAAGGGGTACGTTAGCAAATAAATTTTCTTAGCATGTTTCAAGTTTCTGTATGTTAGGCATTCATTGGAGGTGTGTCTATATACGTTACACATGCTACATCTGATCAAGTGTTCAAGTATACCTGAGCAAGATTACACTAGTTTACCTGATCCTATGTTCCAAATAGGATTTTTCAAGGTGGTCAGAAACTGCTATGGAGTGTTCATATGCAGAACTGTCTTTCTAGTAGTGGTTTTGTTTGAAAATTTGGTTGCAATTTCTAATGACTAACTTTGCAATCTTTCGGATCCTATTGTGGCTTTAATGAAAGTCAATTGAGTAGTAATCTTCTCATTTCCTTTACATTTATAACCTGACCGACTTTCTCATTTGGGTTTCTCTAGCTTAGTGTTTTGCAAAGACGTGCCGAGGCAATAGTTAGCTTTGTAAAATTTTCTCTCACATCTTCTAGTTCGGTTTGAAGTTCCAACATTTGTTTTTTCTTTTCACTTATAGATTTGAGTAAATTTTCTCTCAGTCGCAACTATGAACCTCTTTTCTTCAATGTATTCTATCATAGCTAGAAGAGTAACATTTCCTTTTTGTTCAGCTTCCAGATTATCTATCAAACTTTTACGTTCTGCACAGGTGTTGCATATTCCAGTTGAATCTGCATTCAGTAGTTGCTGACGTGCAGAAGACAGTAAGTCTATATTAGCAATTGGTTGAAGATTTGTTGTTAGGGAAGTTACATAATTGTCGTCAGTTTTGTCCTCCTCATCCGAAATGACTCTTTGTCTTCATCTTCACTCCATGTTAGCTTTCTTGGCCTTAGACTTTTTTAAGGTATTTGCACACTCAGCCACAATGTGCCTCGAAACCTTCACATTTATGTTATTAGACTCATTGTTAGGTCTTTTCCAAAAATGACATAGGGAATTGCTTAGAGTTTCCAAGAAACTTCTTCTTGTGGTTAAGTTCTTGAGCTTCTTCCTTTCTAGTTGTTTTTCAAGAATTTCTTAAATTGTTTAGTGAGCATGGCCATCTGCTCATCATCTTTACTTTCATCTTCTTCTTTCTATGTCTTAATCTCATTGACTTTAAGGCGATCTTTGAGTCTTTTTCTTTCTCCCTTTTGTGAAGGTTTAGGTCATAAGTCATCAACGATCCCACAATTCTTCCACGTTCATACTTTCCATGTTCTTGGTTTCTTCCATAATGGTAACTTTTGAGTAGAACCCATCATGTAGTATTATGAGGATTTTTTTTACTATTTTGCTTTTAGATAATTTCTTCCCCGATGTGTAAATTGAGTTAGAGATGTCACATAGTTTTGCATAGAAGTTTTTGAATTGCTCATCTTCTCTTAGGGTTGATTGCTCATATTCAAATGTCCGCATTTATAATTTAGAAGACTTCACTATAGTGGTTCCTTCATGAGCAACTCACAGTATGTACCACGTCTCTTTTTACCACCTTGCAAGTAGAAACCAAACAAAATCGATGCATGTATATGAATGAGAAAAGGAAATTTAATGCTTTAGAGTTCCAACTAGTACTGTTATAATCAGTGGTCATCCATTCATCTGATAGTTTTTCTTTATCTTTATCCTCTTCAGTTACGACAAATGTTTTATATTCATACACAATTGAGTGCCATGCACTCTCATCTATAGATTGGATAAAAACTTACATTCTAATTTTTCAATGAGAATAATTAATCCCGTCTAGGATAGGAGGTCTAAACTGGGCACCATCCATAACTAGATTTTAATGGCGATCTCACTTTTAAAAAGTAAACCCTCTCGATATCAATTGTAAATACAGCTAATTTTACCAACTTGTCTCAATTTATGTTGCTGCACAAAATACGCCAGTCAATGAAAGCTTTGAGTAGGTAGTTCAATGTACAATTCTGACTAAAACGACTCAATAGACTTATGTTTTGCATATAATGACCTATTGCACAGTTGAATAAGGAAGAACACAGATATGGCGTGAAGAACTAATCCATTAATCGAGTTGCAAAACTACAATACCTTCGGTTTAGTTATTTTGCAAAATTAACTAAAACTATAAAAAGCAAATAAAGAACAACTCCCTCATTTTCTTATTCCTTTTGACTTGTTGGAGAAGTAGACTCAAACCCTCTGGTTTTGACTTTATTGTCACTTCACTATTGTATTTGTCCGCAACCACCACTTCGGATTAAGATTTACCAATCTTAACTCACTCTAAGTAGTCTGATCCTTGAACAGAATTATATAAGTCATGCCAGGGTGTTTTCTCTTCAAATATGACTGAAGAACACGGATTTTACTTTGAGACGCTGAGCTGAATCTTCTACTAGTTAAAACTCGTTAATATAGGTCAAAATGTTTCTGAACGTCAAGTTGCAGGTTCGTCGGGCGTATGAAAATTTTCTCTCAAAGTTTGTTTAATCTTTAATGACCATCTTCACATATATAAAGATTTCCACAAGGCCCGAACATCTCTTACCTGAAATAATAACGTTATGCATGGTAAGAATCACATAAGATATGGTCAATATGGTCTATAATTGAAATAAGGAAAGATTTTCTAATATAATCTTTCATTCTTTTAATTATTTAATGAATCAACCTTGTCCAAGATGATAATTAAATATTTCTGAATATGCTGCTTTTAAGGTAAATAAGAGTGGCACCTTATTTATGTTTTAGAAACCCTAAGAAAATTGCAGCAAGAATTTTACAAACTTGTAACACCCACTCATTTATGATCGACTGGCTTACATGTCTATGGACTTCACTGTTGCACATGGTTTTTTTTTTTTAAAACATGTTTGGACATTAAAAATCATTCCAATGTAAGCAAGCCAATAAATAAAAGATAAGTAAAAATATTTCATATATTTTACTTACAAAATTAATTGACTCTTACTTTGATACTCGTCTTGTAAAATCAACTTAATCAAGGTAAAGGGGAAGGATGAGAGGGTAGCGGAGAGTAAAATGGCGATTGGACTCGCTAAGAATTGGGGTAAAAGAGAAGGTTTAAGGAAGATGATGATAGCACACAAAAGTTTTTATGGAACACTAATTTAAGGATGCACAATGTACTTTAGGCGCCTATAAGTACATCGCACACATTATTGCTTGTATTTTTAATACATAAATATATCAAGGCCTTGTGAGTATAATTCTTTGGAAATAGTTTGGGACAACTTGCACTTAACACTATATATATATATAATCAAAAGACTACATTTTCTAAATATAACATAATTTTCGTTGCATAACTGTTTCGACAATGTCTTTCAACTAAACAAAACACTTAATGTTTAGACTCTTAAAATTAATAATTTTAATGCATACGGTTTAAATGTATGAATTGAAAGTCTTCAATGAGTATGATTACTAGACAGGAATCCTCTATGTCAAATGGTACGATGCACGATAAAAACTCTTAATCTTTTGATGGGATGCAATCTACACCATTGAATATAAAATTGTGGGATCTAATGGTTATAATTAATTTGTGCCCAAAGATACGATCATTCAAAAAGACACGTGAAAATCTATAAATAGAACACTTCAGATTATAATTTTCAAGTTATTTTTCGTTTCGTATTTGATATCTTTTGTTCTAGAAAAATATGATCAAGCCTTGATTTGCTCAACAAAATTTATATCATGCTATTTTAATTTTGAAAGAAACGTTGTATCTATAAAACACTACAATTGTCATAAGCATCATTTGTTCTAGAGTTAGACGAAGACAAAACAAAATAATAAGGGATTGTTCTCTTTGCTATTTTCATGCCATTTTTTATTTTTGATTTTTCAAAATAGTGAAATCGCATTCTCTTTCCTATTTTCGAAAATGGATGTTTGAAAGTTTTCAAGCTAAAACACGATATTTCTACGAAACACGGCAAACACACCCATTTTCGTTTTCCTCCTCTCTCTCACACCCATTCCCACCACCCGTTTTGGGTGAAATTGGGTCGAATCCGTTGCTGGGCAAGGTGCAGCAGAGGCAGGCCATGTTAACACATGTGGTCCATCACCATGGGTTGACGTGACGACGTCGGAATTTGAAGAAATCAAACCGCGTCAATTGGGGATTGCGAATGGCGATTTTTCTGGAATCGATTAAGATAGTTTAATTGCTGCTTGGGCTGAATTGAGGCCCTAGTTAGAGTGGCCTGGACATGGGCAACTGACCGGTGATGGTCCGCGAACAAGTTGGTGGTCGAAGGGTGAAATTCGACAGTTTTCAGATTTTCAGGCAGCTGAATTTGTGGTTCTTTTCCGGCCGATCCAAAGGCTTAGTATGGAGAAATTACTATGTGTTAGATACTATATTAGGCTTTTCAGTAATTTGTTATCTGATCAGTGGAAACAAATGGGATGGCAACTGGTAAGGAAGAGATTTATCAACAGACTTCAAGTTTTTCCTTTCTTCCCTGTGTCTATATCATACTAAACTCTTCCCCCGTCCTCCCTCTCATTCAACTTCTTTTGTCACACTTGGCATTGCAATTTTGATATGCAGAAGAGCAGGGTTCATTTCTTTGGAACATTTACTGTTTTCTGCAAAGACGTTTTCATATTGCTCACTAACTAATCTATCTCATCCTTTATTAGTTGGTATCTTTATAGCTTCTTGGTCATTGTTTGATGACTTTCTTTGTCAAGTATGTTTTATGAGATGTAAGCATTTTGAGTATTATGTATTTTGTTTGTCTGAATAAATCTGTTATGCTACTGCCCATGGTCTCAGGAGAAGAAAACCCTTCTTTGTAAAATGAAGAATTCTGTTTGAGCGTTTTAAAAGTATGGCACATTAATATTTGTCTTTGTCTTTCTCTTAATCTGGAGTTATTTTCTCTGTTTTATTTGGTTAATAAATGTGATATAGTAATACCATGGTCTAGTAAATGTGATCTAGTTACTCCAGTTAGCTCTAACCTCAGAAGATCTTTTCCTCATCAATAAAAGTAATCCCTTTTATGAGGATATGGATGAAAATTTAACTAACTGGTACTCTATGTTTTCATCCCTAGGATAATAACCACCTTGATAAACTGCAGTTCCGTTCTCCTATAGATGGCTTAGATATTTACTGGCTGTAGGAACTTTGAATATGAACGACTGTGTGGTCACAATTAGCTCTAACCCCATAAGATCTCCTCATTAACAAAAGTATTCCCTTTTATGAGGATATGGATGAAAATTTAATTAACTAGTACTTTGTGTTTTCATCATTTCCCTTAATGTGACATGTCCGTCCCTAGGATAATATGCACCTTGATATACTGCCTTGCCATGGAAAGGTGGCTTATATATTTACTGGCTGTTGGAACTTTGAATATGAACGATAATGTGGCCTTATTTATTCAGTTCTTTGAATTGGCAGGTTGAGCATATTGACAAATTCGCAGATGAGCCTTGCTAAGCTTGATGAATTGCGGCAAGCTGCTAAAATAGAGGTAGAAATGCGCTTCAGAAAGAAACGAGCTGAGTTAAATACAAAGGTTGAAATGCGGGTTCTGCTTATCCTTAAGGCTTATAAGCAAAGGAGGGCCACATTAAAGGAGAGAACATCTCAACCATTGCTTCGAAGGATGGCAAGGGAGAGCAAGTATAAGGAACGAGTGTGCACTGCAATATGTCAAAAGCGTGTAGCTGCTGAGAAGAAGCGACTGGCATTGTTGGAAACAGAGAAGATTAGGGTACGTGCCAGGGTCTTGGAGGTGCGGAAGGTAGCAAGGTCCATTTCTCACCAGCGAGAAATTGAGATGATGGAAATGAAGAACAAGCTAGAAGATAGACTACAAAGGTTATTCTCATAGTTCCATGTTGGTTAAGATTTACTTGGTGGCCTTGTCTTTGTTTGTCATTTTTACAATTGGATTTTATGGTGAAATAGGTAAGAAGACAGAGAGCAGAATATTTAAAGCAGAGAGGAAAGCCTCAGAATTTTGTTTGTTACGAGTGGAATATCACGCAAGAGCAGGAGGCTGACATCCTTTCCTGAAAATTAGCAAGGTACATGCAGGAGCCTCCTTGGTGTTTGTACAAGTTTATATGTAAAATAGTTAGCTGTAGTCAGTTAAAAAGTTTTATTTATTTATTATTATTATTTTTTTATATTTTGCATTGTATTATAATATCCTTTAAATTTTGGCCCCCACTTTTTTTTTTAACGTATTTTATCAAGTTGGAGACAGGTTAAACTTTTCTCCTCATGCGGTACTATATCATTTCTTATTTACTGATGTTATACACGTAGAGTTGCAATTGAAGTTGTAGAATTGTTTGTGAGAAGGGTAAACAGGTTGATGTGTGTTGGACATGTCGACGGTGGTGACATCTATTTAAAGATCAAGAATTCATCGACTTTTTCATGTAGTGGAAATGCAAATTAAAGCGGGAATTTAACCTGCGATGCAAATTATATGTTGTGTAAATTGTGAGAAATGTTCAATTTTCAAAATGGTCAAAAATATTTCAAGATTCACCAACTTCAAAATTTATATGTTATGTAATATTATATTAATATTAAAATATTAAAATTTATTGAATAATCAAATTTCTTGAATAAAATATTATTAAAAATATAATCAAAATTTCTAAGTTAACGTGTTTTTCAATTTTATGTTTTAAGAAATAATTTTTAAAATGACAAAAAGAACGTATCTTCAGCAATTTCCAAACAGATATTTAAAACACAAAATTCAAAACTCAAAAGTAAAAATTATGGCGCTCTGATATCAACTGACGTCGGGTAGGATAGTGATTATCCTATTGGCTTGTTGTAGCAGATGATTCGCAAGAAAAGAACGATAGAAAATGCCCAAAAAAATCAGAGAAAATACTCTGAATTCAATTCAATATTATTAATAATGCAGAATGATGAAAACTAATCCACAAGTCGGGTTAAATAGCTGCGAAATACGAAATTATGGGAAAATTACCAAAAATGGCAAAATCTCAAAATTATACCAAAATAAAATATTAAGTAAAAGAAGTAAGTTGTCAAAAATTTGACTCAATTCGAGTTTTCTAACATATGGAAAAAAGGAAACGAAATATTACTATAAATAGTAAAAAATAACTTAAAATTGAATTTTGGAAAGGAAAACAGTGGATTTTGGGCTCAAAATTGACGTTCACCGAGCATAGTTGGGTGGCCACGACGTGCGCGCCGAAGAGAGCTTTCCGGATTGGGATCATAATAGCGATTCCGATAACCGTAGCCAAAGTTATGGCCAAATTACCAAAAAAGCGTCAAATTCCCCCAATTAAGGAAATAATGGTGATTCACTTTTCATCTTTGCGCCGATCCGCCATCTCATAGTATCTCAGCGCCATCATCGTGCTATCTGACAAATCAGCATCACTTGACTCAGATCCTCCTGCATCAGTCGCCCCGGGTTGAAAAGAACTCGCCCTCGAGTTCACAGTAACTTCATCGGACTCCATAAAACAAGGGCTTAGGTGTTTTACATTGAAAACATCAGAGGTCTTCAAATAGCTCGGGAGGCGCAATCTGTAAGCATTATCATTGATCTTCTGCAGCACTTCACAAGGTCTAATCTTCCGCTCTTTTAGCTTATTGTATTCCCCAGCTGGAAAACGAGCACGAGTTAATACTGCCCAAACAAAATCACCAACATCAAACAACACCTGGCGTCGATGACTATCTGCCTGAATTTTGTACTTAGTATTACTATCTTGTATGGACAGCTTCACCTGCTCATGGATACCTCGAAGATGTTCAGCCATCTCATTAGCTTTGTTATTGAAGCAACCCACACGTGGAATTGGAGCCAAATCAAGTACTCTGGATGGGTTTCGACCATAGACAATTTCAAAAGGATTCAGCCCGGTGGTTCTATTCCTCGACCGGTTATAAGCAAACTCTGCTTGAGGTAATGCCAAATCCCACTGCTTCGGTTTAGTCCCGGCTAAGCTTCTCAAAAGATTTTCCAAACTCCGATTCACCACCTCAGTCTGACCATCTGTTTGGGGATGGTATGCGCTGCTAAAATTCAATTTCGTTCCAAGTTTCTCCCACAATCTCCTCCAGAAATGACTCATAAACTTAGTGTCACGATCAAAAGTAATTGACTATGGAACACCATGTTTACACACAATCTCTCTGAAATAAAGATGAGCAATCCGAGTAGTATCCATTGTCTTCTGGCAAGCCACAAAATGAGCCATCTTTGAAAATCTGTCAACCACAACAAGAATGGAATCCATCGCCCACTGTGTACGAGGTAAGCCCAAGATAAAATCCATACTGACATCAAACCAAGGAGCTTCATGTACGGGTAATGGTATGTACAATCCAGCATTAGTAAGAGCCCCTTTAGACCACTGACATACATAACACCGCTCCACATAATGCGCCACATCACTGCTCAACTTGGGCCAGTAATAATCAGAAGAGACCAACGCCAATGTCTTGTCTCGCCCAAAATGTCCTTCGTTACGAAGTTCACTAATAATCTGCTGCATTAGTGAACAATCCGGAATGCATAACTGCAATCCATGAAACAAGTAATCATTATGTAAAATAAAATCATGTCGGTGATTATCAGTTACCTCCCGAATTATCTTCCCAAATGAAGGATCCGCAGCATACATATCAGGAAATGCCTCAAATCCGACAATCTTGGTGCTCATGGTGGTGAGGAGTAATGAACGACGGCTCAATACATCTGCTACTCGATTCAAACTCCCTGCTTGATGCCTGAGTGTGAAAGTAAACTCCTGCAAGTACGCCACCCACTTTGCATGTCGCCTACTCAGCTTGTGCTGACCATTGATGTACTTCAAAGCTTCATGATCAATAACAAGGACGAACTCCCTCTGTACCAGGTAATGGCGCCAATGCTTCAGAGTCTGAACTATGGCATAGAACTCCAGGTCATAAGTGGAATAATATTTTTTCGATCCCGATAGCTTCTCACTAAAAAAGGCTACTGGATGTCCCTCCTAACTTAGAACACCACCAATGCCAACTCCAAACGCATCACAGTTTACCTCAAACACCTTTTCAAAATTCGAAAGTGCCAAAACTGGGGCCTTCGTCATCTTCTGCTTAACTAGCTGAAAGCTAGCCTCTGCCTCCTCAGTCCACTGAAAATCACGCCCTTTAAGGCACTCTGTGATAGGAGCAATCAAGGTACTAAAGTTTCTGATGAATCGACGATAGAAGGATGCCAATCTATGGAAACTCCTGACATCGTGCAAAGTTTTTGGTTTCGGCCAATTCAAAATTGTCTCAATTTTGGATTGATTTGCATGAACACCATCAGTAGACACAACAAAACCCAAAAAAGTTACAGAAGTTGTGAAGAAAGAACACTTATTCTGATTGATGAATAAGCGCTCTGTCCTCATTACATCAAAGACAGCACGGAGATGATTAAAATGTGACTCCCATGTCAAACTATAAATAAGTATGTCATCAAAATAAACTATCACAAACTTCCCCATGAAAGGCCGTAAAACCTGATGCATAAACCTCATAAAAGTGCAGGGTGCGTTGGATAGTCCACAGGGCATGACCATCCACTCTTACAACTCATGCTGTGTCTTGAACGCGGTCTTCCACTCATCTCTAGGTCTGATTCTGATCTGGTGGTATCCACTTTTAAGGTCGATTTTTGAGAAGACCTTAGAACCGGACAATTGATCCAACATGTCGTCCAGACGGGAATTGGAAACCTGTACTTCACTGTAATCCTGTTAATTGCCTTGCTATCAACACACATATGCCATGACCCATCTTTCTTCGGCACTAGGAGAGCAGAAACTGCACAAGGACTCATACTCTCACGAATGTAGCCCCTTTCCAATAATTCTACCACCTGTCGCTGCAACTCTTCAGCTTCCTTGGGACTGGGCGATATGCTGGTCGGTTTGGTCGACTTGACCCCGGAATGAGGTCGATCTGATGTTGAATGTCCCTCATAGGTGGTAGTCCTGGAGGAAGATCCTCCGGCATCAAGTCAGAAAACTCCATCAGTAGTTGCTGTACTTCTACTGGAAATTCTGAATCCACATTCGCTGTACTATTTTCACGAGGCATTAAAGCATAAACTATTTTTTCACGCCCAACCTCAACCAAGAACCTGGACATAGAAAGTAGATTGGGGTTTTTAACTATCGGGGCAGGGATATTTCCTTCCCTGCGAGGCACCAAAATAATTCTCTTCCCTTTGATACTAAGAGAATAAGTATTCTTCCGCCCATCATGGATAACACTGCGATCATACTGCCAAGGTCGTCCCAACAAAACATGACACGCGTCCATTGATACCACATCACACCAAGCATTATCAAAATATTGTTTTCCAATCAAGAAAGACACTAAGCATCGTTTTTCTACCGTTACCTCACTGCCTTTATTCAGCCAAGACAACTTGTATGGTTTGGGATGACGATCCATCTTCAGTTGCAGTTTCTCGATAACCTCCTCAGACACTACATTCTCACAACTGCCACTATCAATTATCAGCTTACAGACTTTATTAGCAACTGTGCAGGTTGTGTGGAAAACGTTGGTCCTCAACCAATCATCCCCTGAGTCGCCCTTGGGAGTCAGCAGGCTCTTTCGAACGACCAGGGTCTCCTGACCATCTCCATATAGCACGTCCTCATCTTCACCCTCATCATACACGGGTTCCCCAACTTCCTCAAACTCCTCTATCATATCCTCCTCAATCAAAAGATTTTTATTCTTCTGACCAGCAGGCTTCCTGCAATCAGTCGCCCTATGCTCTTGTTCACCACACCTAAAGCACTTAATACTTGAGCTGGAACTATCTCGTTGTGGCTGATAAGCAGGACGAGATTCTTGAGGGCGAACTAGCTGACTTCCTTCACCTCTGACCACTGGCCTCCTACTTTACTGTTTCTCTACTGCGAGTGCTCGTTGATATGCTCAGAAACTGTCCACAATGAATGAAGGCTGAGAACATCCTGCAGGGGTTGCCTTAATCCCCCCAAATATCGTGCTACCACCTGTTCCTCCGTCTCAGATAAATCATTCCGAGCCATCAACTGATAGAATTCTTCAGTATAATCATTGACTGATCTTGCACCTTGCCTTAGTGAATGAAGCCTCTGAAACAAGGTTTGAGTATAGCCGAAAGGGAGGAAGTGCCCTTTCATCTTCTTCTTCATCTTCTCCCAGTTAGTAATTTTGGATTTCCCCCGTCGCTCCCGTGAACGCTTCAACTGTTCCCACCATGCAGATGCCCTACCTTTGAGTTTGATGGCGACTAGTTTCACTTTGACACGATTTGGAACCTCCTTATATTCAAAAATTCGCTCCACTTCATTCAGCCAATCAATAAATCCTTCAGCCTGCAACGTACCAGAAAACTCGGACAGATCCACTCTGAAATCGAGATCCACATGACGATCCTCCCATCCACGATGCTCCCAAACTCGAGCACGATGGTGATACGGGTTTTCGAAACTGGTATCGAAATCGTGACCTTCTACATCATGATTACCGAACTCCTGCTCCGCCAAACGTTGGGTTAACTCCCCAACTTGTCTCTGCAAATCTTCAATTGTCACATCCTGAATATTACGATCACGGTGCGGGACTTCCTCAATCGGAACCTGTCCTCGACGACCACGACCACGTCCACCAACCATTATAACTGATGGAATTTATTTCCCAAGAAGATGCTGGCGCTCTGATACCAACTGACGTCGGGTAGAATAGTGATTATCCTATTGACTTGTTGTAGCAGATGATTCGTAAGAAAAGAACGACAGAAAACGCCCAAAAAAATCAGAGAAAATACTCTGAATTCAACTCAATATTATTAATAATGCAGAATGATGAAAACTAACCCACAAGTCGGGTTAAATAGCTGCGAAATACGAAATTATGGGAAAATTACCAAAAATGGCAAAATCCAAAAATTATACCAAAATAAAATATTAAGTAAAAGAAGTAAGTTGCCAAAAATTTGGCTCAATTCGAGTTTTCTAACATATGGAAAAAAGGAAACGAAATATTACCATAAATAGTAAAAAATAACTTAAAATTGAATTTTGGAAAGGAAAACAGTGGATTTTGAGCTCGAAATTAACGTCCACCGAGCATAGCTGGGTGGCCACGACATGCGCGCCGAAGAGATCTTTCCGGATTGAGGTCATAATAGCGATTCCGATAACCGTAGCCAAAATTATGGCCAAATTACCAAAAACGCGTCAAATTCCCCCAATTAAGGAAATAATTGTGATTCACTTTCCATCTTTGCGCCGATCCGCCATCTCATGGTATCTCAGCGCCACCATCGTGCTATCTAACAAATCAGCATCACTCGACTCGGATCCTTCTGCATCACAACCCTTAAGCTTTTTGCCCATAAACATTTGCTTCATGTTTACATCAAGCAGTTGCATGGCTCTGATTCTTTAAAAGTGCATTCATGAGCTAGATAATTTTATTTTTTCTTCGATTTGGAACTAATTGCATATTCTTTTAATGATTTCAATTCAAAAATTCTGTCAGTTAACAAAAATATTTATCTTTCCGGATCCATATAATTACCCAACCCAATGTCCAACCCTTAACCCATCCAACTCCACTCAACCCATTGATAGGTCGTAGGGGTTAGGTGAGTTGGGGCTTTTGGGCCGGGGTTGAGTAGATCGAGGAAGAATGAGTATTTTTATGAAATGACAAATTTTTAAGAAAATCATTAGAGGTCCTTTCGATGCAAATTTATCCAATTGGGGGTGGGGGGAGGGGTTCTTTTAAAATAGAACCACATCAATCCCATGTAAATCTTCAAACTACCAAGTCGAAGAAATATTTTCAAGGAAAAATACATAATTACTATAGTTTCGAGCTACATTTTAAAATTAAGAAATTTGTAGAATTCTTTCAAAAATTAGGTTGTCATATTTTGTGACCACTTGATAAAAATTTGTGATGTGCTAATTAATTAAACAAATCAATGTCACAATAAAATACAATTTATGATCAAGATCGTGTATTTGTCACAAATTATGCAATGTCACAGTTACAAATACACAAATTATGAGTTATAATTACAAATTCAGTCGCAAATCATACATTTATATAGATTATATCTTATTTATTGATAATAAATTACCAAATTAATTGGCCACACAATTACCTAATTAAATTATCACAGATTACTCTTTATCTCTCTTATTCTATTCCACCACTGCTCGTACCTCAAATTCACAACCTACCACCATTATCACCACCATTTTCACTTTAAATCCATAGCCACTACTACCACCATCACCACTCTTCAAATTCACCACCACCACCTCTACCTCGAACCCACCACCACCTCCCTTTGCATCACAATTATACCTTGACGCACACAAATAGAGGCAGAAGCAAATAATTGATTGTAGCACCAAACAAACCTTAAACACATCATCGTCGTTATATGCAAGTTTCGACCTCCACCTTATTCTTGCCTATCATCACCAATCAAAAATCAAACTTTCATGTCGCTGCACCTAAAACACCTCGCTCAAATTTTTCCTTACCTCGCAGTCGCCTCGACTACATATTACAACCATACTTTATCTAACCATGCATCCATTGTCGCTAGCAACCACAATAAACGACGATTGCCGCCAATCACAACCTCCCACCACTCGTCATCGGATTCTATAATAAATGTCCACTGTAGTCGTCAAGTCCTATCTCCGTCGATCTCTCTTCTAAAGCCACTAACTTCCTTTGTATTCAACGACAATCACTAGTTATCAACCCCATATCAACAACATTGAATAGTCCATGCGGTGGCCGATGTACAAATCTAAGGCTATGTTTGATTGCAACCCAATTCCATGGAAAATGGAAATCAAATTATATCTTTTCAATTTTTTTTTGTTTGATTGAGAAAATTTTTCCTAAAATTCGAATTCCACCTTTTATGTCATTTAAGCTAATTTCCACGTTTTCCTTGAATTCCAATTCTCACCAAAATAGTGAGAATTGGAATTCTCGGTTACTGTAGCATTTTTTTCGATTTTTTTTTAAATTTTTTGTTGGCAATGGAAACAAATTTTAAGAATTATTGTAAAAAAATATTTCCCTTTAAATGACAATTTTCATGTAAAATAAAGCCAAACGAATACCAAAAGATAGATGATTTTCTTGAATTTTTTTTTTTGTGTTGGCAATGGAAACAAATTTCATCCCCAATACAAGTAAAATCTATCCATTTAATTGACAATTTTCACGTAAAACAAAGTCAAACGGAGATCAAAAAACACTTTTATTTTAACATTTTTCACATAAAAATTTATCTCAATCAAACACAATAATTTACAATTTTCAGGAAAATAATTTATAGACAATTCAATTCCCTGAAATTCGTTTTTAATTCAATTCCGTCTTTGCAATCAAAAGGATCCCAAATGTAAATAGATTGAGAGAATAAAGAGAGAGATTAGATAGAGATCGTTGAGAGAGAGATTAGATGTAAATTTTATATAATAGCTACTACGTGATAATTAAAAAAAAAAATTTAATCTGTTTTTTGAATTTAGTAAAACCTGATTTATGGTAATTTAATTTACATCCGAAACGAAGCCCAATTATTAGAAATCCATAAAAATTTATTAAACCCTTCAGGAACGTAAACCTTGCTGATCTTCACTCGACGGCCCCAAAACTCCCGACTTGCATTTCTCCAACCGGAAAACAATGTCAAAATGGTGGCGAGCGGCGGCCGGCGTCTTTAAGACTGCCATTGTAACACCATCCAGCCGCTGTTTCCACACGATTCAAGCTATTCCAAGAGAAATCTCCGGCCACAGAGTTTCAGTCCGAGAACGATCCGTGGGGCGCATTCCCGCCGTGGTCTTCTCCCAAAGCTACGTCCAAAGAGACCCTAACAACCCCACCTCCATCACCACTGACGCCTCGGTTTCACAAAAGGTCCTCCTTACCACAGAGCGGAAGCAGATTAAAGCGATCCTCAAGCATGTTAAGCTGCCGTTTTTCTGCTCGAATACTTTTCCCCTCCAGATCCGAGCCGGGTCGGGTTCTTCAACTATACTTGAAACCAGAAAAGTCTTACCCATTAAGGCAAGCGCTTTATGCAATTGCACTTATTATTACTTAATGATTGATACTTGACATGTAGAATTATTATGGTTTTTGACAAGTAATAAACTGATAGAGTTGAATACACACGATTTTTGTTACATTAACGATGGAGTTTCGTTGTATATTTGATGTGTAGATACATATGGACGAAGAGACGGGAAAGATTATGAACTTAGTTTTCGTGTGGGCAGAGGACGGAACAGAATTGAAAGTGGATGTGCCTGTTGTTTTTGCTGGAGAAGATGTTTGCCCTGGTCTGAAGAAAGGTTTGCTTTTTTGGCTCTGTTTCGTGTGTTTCCATATTTCTTATCTGGCAAACATACTTGGATATCCGGTCAGTGTTTTTTTATATGACTATGGACGAATATATGGTCAACAGTTTGATATATAGCATTGTTTGCTTTGCCACTCGATAATTTGGAATCTTTTGCTTCTGATTCTTCAGTGCTTGAATGTAAGTGTGTTTATTGAAGTAATCTTCTCTTGGAAATTCATATGCACAGGCTTAAGTTATGAAAAGAACATAAGCTTGCTAGTCCTTATGGTAATTTAGTTATGTTTGTGTATTTTTTTACTTTGTACTGATTTAGAGGTTAAATTGATTTTTTCTTTTTTCTTTTTTTTTGTCTCCAAGCTTCTAAGGAGGAACAATCTACTCAGATGTGCGTCTAATCTTGGGTGTCAGTCAACAAGTATTTCAGGCTTTAAGTGAATGCTAGTAGGGTTAAATGTTTCATTGGCTACCGAACTTTACACTCCGTAGCGGTTTACTCGCCCAACTTCTAATCGTACCAATTGCCACTGAACTTATTTCCGTTGCACTCTGTTACTCACTGATTTAAATCCGTTAATGAATCTTGCCAGCTGGACAATGGAATATCTACGTTTATAGTTAAGTGCTTAAGTGGGAGATCCATGTACCCAAACACGCCATCATCACTGCCATCATGGGCATTTCTTCAATTCCCATTTTCTTCCTCAAAACTTCTGTCAAATCTGATATTTTCAGCAGTGTCAGCCTGGACATCTCATCTACTGTAGCTGATACTTTCTCCGAGCTACGCCTTCGGTTTGGCCAACTTGAAAATCTCATCTACTATATTTTCAAAGGCTTCTGCTGCTGCACTTAAACCCATGCCAGTAAAAAGCAAGTTCCCCAGAGAGATATCTCTATCCCTGAAGACATGTAATGAATGTAATTGGAGAATGTGAAAAATAGGATTAAAAATCAATTACAAAGATGAGTCCAAATTTATCCAAAGATTCAATGCTAGTGTATCCAAAATTCGAGGGAGGTAATCCAGTATCATTTCTTGATTTTTGAAGATTTTAAGGTGAATTTTCACGTGGATCTTCAGAAACCATAGAATCATTTCTGGTGAATCCAAAATCTGAGGGAGATAATCTAGTATCATATCTTGATTTTTGAAGATTCTCCTCTTCACTCTCATTAGATGTGCTTGATATAATTGCCCCAAAATGAATATGTTTTTTTTATTCCAGTTTGCACAGAGGCGATTTTTGTATTTGTCAATGATAAGTCGTGTTTGGCTACATGGATCTTCCACTTGAGCACTGAACGGTCCATGTAGATATTTCGTTGCCTAGCTAGCCAGATCATTGACGAACTTAAATCGATGAGTAAGTGAGTGCAAAGAAGATATTTTCAGTGGCCATTGAGACAATTTTTAATGCTGGGTGAGTAAGTCACGACGGAGTGTAAAGTTTAGTGGCTAATAAAACATTTAATTCATGCTTGTATGTGAAACCAGTATCTGAATACATTGCTAAATGCTAATATTTCATCTTCAGATCCAATCACTGAACTTTCTTGCCAATTTTCACCGGCATATGTTATTAAGAAAATGCATTTTTCTCTAGTTTTTAGATATCAAATTGACCTAATAAAAAAATCAGCAGAGAGAAAAGCTAGTGTTGACAAAAAAAGAGTGGTAAGAAAAGGAAGGAAGAAGCAAAATTGGAGCATTTATCTAGAATTTGATGGAAACCGGACTTCATTACGATTAAAATTTAAATAGAAGTGTTAACATCAGATAATGATTGCTATCAAATAGTTGCATAATAAATTTGAAAATCCAGTCTGTCTGAACTTGGAAATGTATTGTGAGAGATCTTATGCATTATTCTCACTTCACAGATGAGTACCTAAAATGCTTTTTGGTAATGTGTTACATTGGTTTCTGCTAATATCTTTTCTACAGCCATTTAACCTAGAGAAATCGACACTTGCTCTTCCAACTCTTCGATTTTCTTCTTAAAAATCTCGTTTCAGTTGATCGAGGTATTTGCTGCAACCTTGTATTTTCTGTTCAAGCACAGCCACCTTCTATTTTCCTACTTGTGTCAGCACCTGCTCTGCATGTTCTGAACTTCAATATGAAGTTGTTCAACCATCCTTAGAAAATACAACCTCTCCCCTTTCTGTGCTTGGTGGATTCTGAGACACAGAATTTCCTGCACAAATTAGAAATCTAGTATTGATAAGTAATTCCTTATGAAATTAGGTCTCTAGTTCCTAATTTGAGGAAGGAACTATAGACCAAGGTGGTCCCACTAATCCTAGGAAAAACAAATAGTTCAGCAATTTGCAAACTGATAAGAATTCACAATATTAAAACTACTCCCAAAGTTACCATGATTGCTGTACCAGAAAATTCCTACATGATAGTCATACCAAGCATGCTTGAAATGGGTGAGTTCACATGGAGTAGGCTTGGGGTGGATTCTCAGATTTGATTATAGGTGATATATGGTGGATTGTATTAGTATCATGAGCTAACTTTTGGTCAAAGTGGGGACAATACCCTCATCAGTTAGTATCCAAGTCAGATATTCCCTGTTCGAGTCAATGCTGGAGCATTCTCATGGAGTGGCTAGGTAATACATAAGCATGCTTGAAACGGGGGAAGGTCCACATGGAGTGGGCTTGGGGGTGAATTTCCGAGCCTAATTCTAGGAAGTGATATAGGACGAGTTGCATTAGTACCATGAGTTATAGCTTCAATACCTTACAGTAGATTTCATACTAGCTGAATATTTTTACATCTTCAGTTACATTTGAATTACTGTAAGCAGGGGTTTATATCTTGATCTTTGTGATGGTTATTTTATCGTAAGTTGTTAATGACTTGATTGCATTGGGAGAAGTTAGTTGTTGTAGTATAGTATGCATGATGATGCGTTTAATTAATATCTTATTATTTTATTTTGTTATTGTTAATTAATTAGTCATTTATTGGATTTTTGTTATGATTAGAAATTTATTAATGAAAATAGATATGTTTTCTATAGTTTTATTTTGATTATGAGTTTATTCAACATAGATAAGTTTTGTAGAGTTTGTTTTGCTTTAAAAGTGTAGTTAGGAGTTTTGTATAAATAGGTTGTTATGATTCTGTTGTACGATGGTTGTTTTTGAATATGGAACAAAGCCTTGGAGAATTTTCTTCAATTATCCACCTAAATGGTTAATTCATGCATGAATTTTCTTCTATAATCCCGTATATTTTATTGTTTACGCTTCTGCCTGCATCACATAGTTTGTAAGAGAAGAAGTCATAGCTTGTATCTAGATCCTTGTGGCAAGCTAATGTCACATCTCCAGGTAGAATGCTCTCTGTCTGATCATTTTCTTTGATGGAAAAGCATCTTCCTCTTAAATTGACAGTTGCGGAGTTGAGCAGGGAAAGAATCTTCAGACTGAAACTTGAGCATGAGTAGAAGATCTTGAGCTTAAGCTTGGCTCGAAGTTCGATGAACCTGATAACTCCTTGTTTGAGCTTTTATCAGAGTGAAGAATTTACGTACTTAAGTTAGGCTTGATCAGTTGTCAATGCTTGAGCCTCATATGTGGTCGAGCTTAATTTTGTTTTCGGCATTAACTTCAACTTCATCCTCAACCACCTATACCAAGCTCAAAATAAAAATGGATCACAAGGGTACCCGCAGCTCTATTTAACATCATAGCAGCAGCATTGATGTGAAGACAGGAGAAAATGGCAACATGAAGGATGTGGTACCTAAAGATGCACATTTATTTGTCCTGACAGTGGTGACTAATTTACCAAACAAATAGTTAAAAAAGTTTTGTTGCTAAATTGGATAAAACTTTAAGAAGTTAGTGAGTTGTTCATGTAAATTATTTGTGGTCCAGTAATTTGGGTAAAATAGTTTAGGATGGAACAGCAGAAGAGTGGTTCAGTTCTGGTGGTGATGGAGTGTAGTACCAACAGGATTAGATGTTCAATTGGGGGTTGGAGATCAGAACCCTATAGAATTTAGGTCTTTGAAACAAAGTGCTTATTTAGTGAAATCATAACAAAGTTGTTTGAACTGTAAAAGGAAGTGTAATGTTCCATAGGATTAAATCAGTACCATTCAAAAATTTAAGAAATCTTGCCAGCCAGCTTGGGAAATTACAAACATGTTTATACGTGCTTGATCTTAACTCAGTTATTATTAAGCAACCTCTAACCTCAAATCGAAATTGCGTAACGTGAACTCTAGGAGATCTTGTGAAGTTCACGAGCATGCTTGACTGAGATGCGCCTCAAGTCTGGTATCTTTTGTAGTTTAACTACCATCAGCGACACTAGCATATTCCATCGGTTGTCAAGTACATTTGGTGGTGGGGTTTTTTTTTTTTTTAATGGACACGTACCTTGAAATTGCTGCAATCTTCTTGTAAGTGCTTAATTTTTTATACTATTTATTGCTGCACAATTTTGAGCATATTAACTTGAAATTTCCGAGTTCCACGAAAACTTACTTCTCCTTTTTATGCTAAAACAGGAGGCCGATTAAACAGGATAAGGACTAGTTTAAAGTACTTGAGTCCAGCCGAGCACATTCCTGCAAAAATTGAGGTGGATATAAGTAATCTAGATATCGGGGACAAAGTATCCCTGAATGATGTCGTTGTTCACCCGAGCTTGAAGCTTCTGAGTAAAAATGAGACCATTCCTATATGTAAGATTATGTCGACAAATATGGAAAATTCTGTAGCCACAAAGTAGTTTCTGAATCACAATCTCAGCGTGTTAAACATATGCTACAAATTTCTGGATCTGCCGGCTTAATAAATTTGTGCATTATTTATGATTCAAATTTAGTTAAGCTTTGTAATGTATTCATGAATGAGATTGCTGTTTATCTGAGTTATATTGCAGGTGACGTTTTTTTTGTTTTTAACCACATTTGCTGCTGTTATTTGACCAAAGGCATGGAAACACTTAATACCATGTTTGGTAGGCTGAACAGGACAACACTAAATAGGAAAAAGTTAAAACTACTGTGCACCAAACACGTCCTTATGGCTGAGCATAATGAGTAGGCTACATGAAATTGTCGAATAATGCATATACATTATGTGAGGAAATTGTCATGCGAAAGCGTTACATTTTTATCTTTTGTGGGGTGGGGATGTATTGGAAACCTACATTGCATTGATTTGCATTTCTCGTTTGTGGCGAGCGGGTCCTTATTTTGCCTCCATTTTTAATAGACTGGCTAAGAGACAAAAAGCCCAGAAGAAGTAACTACCAAAGAATTGAACAAATTCCTAGGAATTTCCAAATCAAAGCATCGTAATTTCTCTGCACCCCAATTGGGGTAAGTGGTAGATGGACGGTTTATTACCATTACATCAATGAATTGATCTATTTGTACAATGACTTTGACAAAATGTAGAGTGTAAAGATCCTAACCATTGAATTCAAAAATAATTTTTCAAATCAATGGATATTATGCTCGCCAACTCACACATTGTCAAATTTGTTGTCAAATTTATTGTACAAGTAGCATGATTGTTACATCAATTTCATTTTGTTGGTGTTGATTGACAATCTTGAAAGGCGACGTTGAGAAATTTAAGGCCTTGAAATTGATCAAATCTTACTAATGTTATTGATATGAGAGAGACTACACGTACAGAAGAAAAGTTGACAGAACTGCTCCAGAATAGATACAATGGGGTTGATGATTTTTTTTTGATAATATTTTATTTACATGGAGCCCACATCCCATGTGAGTATCTATATCATTTCTGTGAAAAAATCTTCCGTACAAATGACAAAAACCTATTGATACTTGTAGTGTTAAAAAAACCTTGCATTCCATTTCTTTACGATTTTTACAGTGGTTTTACTTTCTTGATAGTTGCACATAAAAATGCATGGACTGTGTCAAATCGGTTGACTTGGTTTAGTTTCTCTTTATCTGACTTTAGCAACCTCCATTTCGTCTAAATAAACAGTTTGATTTCCAAATTAACCTTAAAATTTTAGACCATTTCAAAGAAACTATAATATTGTTGACACAAGTGAAGAAGAAGAAGAACAACCCATTCAAAAAGAAGACTAAGCAACAAAGAATTCTAACACCATTTCATCACCGACACCACTAAAATATTTAATTATGGTAAATATCCATTGTCCCCTACTAAGATTAATATAAATTTTCGTAACGATTTTGAAATATTTATATAATCAGAATAAAGTGTGGTGATATATTATTTGGAGCGACCAAGAAACGACTCTCTTATTTTCTTTAGTTGTCATAAACCGCGTGCTTAGGCGTTTACATTTGGAGGGTCTCTTCTTCATCCACCACGCCACACACTCATTGTTCTTCCTGAAAATTCATTGTTATTTGCTTGCTGCCACCATTACATAAATGTAATGTGCGTATTTTTGCAATTATGCATTGGTGGCAGGGCGCATTCACACCCTCTTCAAAATCGAATTCTGATGACAATCTTATCGGCGGAGGAATGGGTCGGTACACGTTGAAAACGGACATGTGTTCGTCCACTAAGAGCCGCCAGCTAACGCGCGCAAGGAAGTTGCGGCATTTGACGGATAACGACGTGGAGCTTTGGCGAACGCCTACGCATGGCGTCAATTTGCCCTCTCAGCCGTGCCCTCAGCCGCTGCCCTTGCCGCTGCCGGAAGATCATGTTCTGTTGGGTCATGATGTAAAGTTGAATGGTTCCGCTACTAATTCGTATAATTTGCCCTCGCCCTACGACGCGCTTAGTAAAGTTGGTCACAGAGGTTGTGGTGGAGGTGAAGAGAGGAATATAGAAAGGGAGAAATCCAAGGAGTTAAATGCAGATACAATTGATGGACCCAATATGCTTAATAGGTATGGAAACACTACGGCACATGAAATTTCACATTGATTTTAAATTCACCATTGTTATGGAATAGAATTTTATGAATTGAGTATTGAGCGCGTGGTTATTGACTTCTGCGATTTAAAAAATAAAATAAAAGGGATGCTTCTTACATCCGCTGCATATATTCGTACTTTGTGGAATGTTTGATTTTGAATCTTATTTGATGTCATGTATATATAGCAATTCTCTGAATTTAATTTGAGAATTTTGATTTTATTTTCCGGCATCTAGTAGCACTGCATTGTCTAATATGTATATATTGAAATACTGGCTGCAGTTTAATAGTCAAATAAGAAAGAGAGAAAGCTGATGTTTCTGAATATTTTTTCTACACTTTTCCGTATCCAATTTGGATTATTTCATACATCTCTGTTCTCTTTATGAACTATATGTTTCGTTGCCTATTTGATTCCCAGCACGTTTGATTTATACAAATATTTGATGCTTTCATTATATCAAAACAAAAGTTGTTTAAAGCATTCAACTGCTGATCATTCTTTTATTTTCTTGAAAATTTTCAATCTCTGCTATGCTTATATAGTTTAGAGATTTGGTTCTTAGACTTTAATTGTCTTTTAGATGTAGCTGCGATTGAAAAACTCTTTTAATTGTCACTTTCTTTATTCCTTATTTATTAGCCAGTACTGTACTTATTACATGTTATAGTTGTTTTTGCATACAGGGATGTTTCTCTGATGCGTGTTCATTAATTCTCCCTTGTCAGCAGATTAGATGGCCAAGATACTCAGATGAATGCAGCTTGTACTGAAATGCGGTCGTCTGGGAAATCGTCTCGGGCAGAAAATGGCTTGGAAAGATCGTCAAATAACTACAATATCAATGTTCCTGTAAGTGCTCCAACTAGTCCTTATTCAAGCCCTGGACTAAGCCCTCCAAGAGGTGGAAGTGATTTTCTTGCAGCTCATTACCTGACTCCCCCAAGTATTTTTCAAGCTTGGTCTGGACTGGAGGTGCCACATTCAGATGCAAATCTTGGCCTAGGGTTTTCCTACCAAATATTACCCCAAAAAAGTGCATCAAGTGATGACAGCTCTCCCGTCCGTGGTCCAAGGGCAAGTTCCCACCGACGTACAAGTGTTACTAGGCCTTTGTCATGGCACGAGAGCAATTCTCAAGCCACTGTTCATCCCTTACCTCTTCCTCCAGGAGCTGCCTTGCCTTCACTGGCCACTCCAGTGTCCCCAAACCCATCTAGAACTGAATTTCCAGTCACTTCTATGCCTTCACAGCCAACTCCAATTTCTCCACTTGCACCTAAATCTAGTTTTCCAGGAGCTACAATGCCTTCACTGCCAACCACAATTTACCCAGTACCAGTTAAACCAGAATTGATGCCTATTAAAGGTAAATGGCAGAAAGGAAAGCTTATTGGGCGTGGGACATTCGGAAGTGTGTATGTAGCTTCAAATAGGTATGCAGGTACAAGACATTTACTTTTTCCAAGACTTCGTGTGGGATCACAACCTAACTAATTGTTATTGTCAACAGAGAGACTGGAGCCTTATGTGCCATGAAAGAAGTTGAAATTTTACCAGATGACCCAAAAGCTGCAGAGTGTATGAGGCAATTGGAGCAGGTCGTGTTCTACTATATACATTTCTCTTATTTTGGTATTTTAGAATCCTGCAGACTAATAATAAAAATGTAAATTCAATGTATACAAATTGTGTAAGTTTTGTCGAGCTCCTCATTTCATTGTTGATCATATTGCAGTCACGAAATATTGGATTTGTATCAGCTGATATTGGGTGGATATGATTGATATGCATATCTGAAATATCTGTGGAGGTTGATGGTTTTTCTCCTAGCTTAGGGTGCTTATGTATTTGATACCAAAGGACAAAGCTAAGTAGGACAGGAAATGAGAGAAGAAAGAAGATAAATATAAATAAATAAAGAGTATGACATTTTTTCCCCTTTACAAGAGTACAACTTATTAATGAAAAGAAATGTTGCCTTCAAGTCTGAGACTCTTAAAAACTTCAGCTAAGCCTGCTAAGGTGACAATCTGAGGCACTTGCACCATTCATTAAATGCATATGTATTCTCTGAATGCTTTGATCCTACTTCTTATGGGTGTCTGAAAATTTGGATTTGCTTATATTGCTTTATAACATTGTTCTATAGGCTCTTTTGTGCATTCCTAAGAATTAAATAAATAAAAGTCATCTTTTCTGCAGTTTGTTAGCTTCATGGAAAAGTTATTTATTTATAGAGGAGCCTAGGCTTCTCAATAGAAGAACCTATTGATCATCCCAAATATGCCACGCTGCTCGAGGTCAGGGTTCCTAAATAATGGGATCTTGTGCTTTCTTTTAATTTTTTTCCCCCTTCTTCGCAGGAAATCAAAGTGCTTAGCAATCTGAAGCATCCAAACATTGTGCAGTATTATGGTAGTGAAATTGTAAGTAGTTATCTTGGAGCTCAGATTTCTGCTTTAGGTCTGTATACATGCTCTAACAAGAGTCTCAATTTATGTGCATGCAGGTTGGTGACCGGTTTTATATATACTTGGAATATGTTCATCCTGGTTCAATCAATAAATTCATCCGTGACCATTGTGGAGCGATCACAGAATGTGTAGTTCGCAATTTTACTCGTCACATTCTATGTGGGCTGGCTTATTTGCATAGTACAAAAACCATACACAGGTAATGTTGATGCATTTTGTATGTTGATGAATACCCCAGGGAAATAGGAGAAGATAACAATTATTTTTCGAACTTCTATCGATGGACATATGGATGACAAATTGTCTTTCACAGCCTCACGGATTATGACATGAAGTTTTAGTTATGAGCTCACTTGAACATCATTTCTGGCCTGACCAATTTTGAGTCATCAAATTTTATAGGGACATCAAAGGTGCTAATTTGCTCGTTGATGCGTGTGGAGTTGTCAAGCTTGCTGACTTTGGGATGGCTAAACATGTGAGTTTAGATTTCTCAAAAATAGCAGAAATATTTCAGTATTAACAAGAGAATAGGGGAAATCTGAAGACCAATTGACTGAATGGCGTATAACACAAAGAGGCCTGTAATATTTATTATAACTTTATTGTCCAGGTTCTCTAGAGTGGAATTTCTGTTTGTGCTTTTATTTTTCTCTTTCTTCTTTATTTTTTTTGGGTTTTAGTAGTTCCATTTGCATTTGCATTTGCATTCTTCTAATTGAATAATATGTAACTATAGTAATCGTCTTTTTTGGTTCTCTCTCTCTCTCTCTCTCTTGGAAACATGAAATGTTAATTATATCTGCCACAGTAATACAAAATAAGTTGATATCTGGTGAAGATCATTCTATCATTGTCTATTATTTTCATGGCTTCAACTTTAGTTGGGTCCTAACCTCTTTTCATGTACAATACGTTTTATATTTTTCATGATTATTAAAGCACAGGCGAGATGGGGATCAACTTTGAGAGCAAGAACATGGTTGTTGGTATAGAAAAATTACGTGCAACTTTTCCCATGTTATAAGTGAGAAAACTTGAGATCAAGAGTTAAGTTGACATATTCTTGTGATACTGTGCCAAATTTATATGCTTTTAACCCGCCGCTCATTAACAGTTCAAAAATATGATGAATGCGGAACCAAGTTTGCGAAAAAACGTCAAAAAAAAAAAAAAAAAAAAAAAAAAAANGAAAAAAAAAAAAAAAAAAAAAAAAAAAAAAAAAAAAAAAAACACGTGGACCTCAAAACACAAAATATTTTATTGATAAGTGCTGCGCTGTCATTTCATGATAGATTAAATAATTTTACCATTTTTTATTTTTATAGTGGTTTTCAATCTGAATATTTCATCTTGATCTGCAGATGACTGGTCAAGCTGCTAATCTTTCGTTAAAGGGTAGTCCATACTGGATGGCTCCCGAGGTGCATATCCCTTGCACCCTCAGAATATTTATTCGCCATGATGCTTAACTATGCTGATGCATGATATTTCTTTCAGCTCTTGCAGTCTTTGATGCAGATAGACGCTAGTTCTGATCTTGCTTTAGCAGTTGATATATGGAGCTTGGGCTGTACTATTATTGAAATGATGAATGGAAAACCCCCTTGGAGTGAATGTGAAGGGGTAAGCTCCAGATGTTGACCGATGTGATTGTTTTGTAATATCAGTTACCTGGCAGATTTTCTGAACACAAATAATGTTACTATGATCAAAAGCCCTCATAGTACTGGAAATTAACACTTAAGATATTATAATTTTCTTTTTTTCCTTAGAAAAATATTCATAGCTAAGCCATGAAAAATATTCATTTCTAAGTGATAGTGTTGTCAACAGTCAAAGATATTGCTCCATGAACTGCTCAGGGACATGAAAGAGACAAACAATGCCTAATAAGATTCTGTTCAGACTTTGATTGAAATCATAACAACCTCTAAAGTCAAGTTTAGAGCCGTTGTTGAATAAATTTATCATAATATTATACTTCACAAGGTGAACTCAGTTTGCACGATTCCTAAAAATTTATCAATATGCTTTATTGAACGAGTTTAAACTGTCTCAGCTCCCATATACCATTGCCATAGTTGTGTACATTTCACTATTGTCTTGCTTGGGTTTTGTTGGACTTCATGGGTAGCATTAATAAGACTTGATATGTGTGATATTTTTGGTGCATCGAATCAATTCTTTATAGTTTTATTAAGTTATTCTATCCCACTGTATGTATCTACATTTAATTTTATTTGTTCTCAATTGTCATATTATTATTATTAGTTCCCCC